GCCGACCAAAACATGAGCAAGAATATGTTTCGTACGTGGAGCCGACCAAAACATGAGCAAGAATATGTTTCGTACGTGGAGCCGACCAAAACATGAGCAAGAATATGTTTCGTACGTGGAGCCGACCAAAACATGAGCAAGAATATGTTTCGTACGTAAAGCCGACCAAAACATGAGCAAGAATATGTTTCGTATGTGGAGCCGACCAAAACATGAGCAAGAATATGTTTCATACGTGGAGCCGACCAAAATATGAGTAAGAATATGTTTCGTACGTGGAGCCGATCAAAACATGAGCAAGAATATGTTTCGTACGTGGAGCCGACCAAAACATGAGCAAGAATATATTTCGTACGTGGAGCCGACCAAAACATGAGCAAGAATATGTTTCGTACGTGGAGCCGACCAAAATATGAGCAAGAATATGTTTCGTACGTGGAGCCGACCAAAACATGAGCAAGTGACTTAATATGTAAATCCGACTAAACACGAACTTCGTGTTTATAGGTGAGGCCGAAAAGACATTAGTGTTACGTGTTTATATGCAGAACCTACTAAACGTGCGTTGCATGTGTAGGCGACGAAACCAAATAATATGAGCAGTGCATGTTTTGTAGGTGGAGAAGCCGAAAATAATAGACAATATGTTTCATAGGTAAAGCTAAAAAAAAACGTGTTTTTCCTAGGTGGTTAAACCGAAAAATATGTGGAATGTGTGTTTTCTTTAGGAAATACTTAATTAAATATTTTTACCCCTATCGGCAAGTTAGTCGCTAATCCGGAACTAGGCTTGTCCTATGCTGGTAAGTAGAATCTCTTTTACTTGCGATGTCAAAGACACTTGTTAACAAACTTCCTTTATTTACTCGATTCATTAATCTTGCACCGCAGGTCTCTCCGTGCGGATCCACTGAATTCTCTTTGAATGACAATTACAAATAAGGCAATTTATTAATTATCGTTGTGCCAGCAGATACACGATACTCACTATTCTACTAACTATTCTATTCTACTTCTATTTATATTAGCTGCAAATTTATCCAGGCTATTCTAACTTCGTGATTCATACATAGAGACTCAACACATGATCTGCACAATTTTCATGCTAACACTTCCTCATGCTTATTTTGTACGTTCTGTGTACAAACCAAACCCGATTTTCTGGTTCGTGGTTCCTGTGAAATGAATGATCTTCCAAGTAGTGATTAATTTAAGTGTGGGCTGCGATAATTTGATGTTTTCAATTCATCGTGTTTTCTATCATTTTTATCATAATCATTATTGATTTTAGACTTATTTCATTCTATTTAGGTCCCAAATGTCAAATTCCTTATGGTAGATGTCGTAGTCCCTCACTTCCATTATGCTTCCTTATGGAATATGCAAATTGTCATAGTTTCGTGGATCCCATTTAAGTTGTCTTCTCCGACCTCGATTTGTATTGCTGCCTCCCTTAACATTGTTGCAGTCTTAAGAACAGGTACCGACGCCATCCTTCTCTACAATCCGGTTGCAAACATTTATGCCACCCTTTTTTGTGGGTAGGTGCCATTAGGATTAATTTTTCTCAGCAACCTCCGAAACTTATGGTCATACGTTAACACCTTTTCACTATCCTTTTGTATCAATTGAACAGATTCATTTGCCATTGGTATTGTTGCTCAGATGACACAAACTGACACAGGGGAAGACTGGTGCGAAGTTTTTTCATAATTGTATTTGTTCCAGAAAATAAGTTGTTTCTGATGGTATGTCACACTGTTGTAATGCCTCCTAAATAATTACTTATCATTACTAACCTTTTTCTATATTTCAATTGTTAGCTTTTGCGACTTTTCGTAGCGCTCCAGTCACAAGTGCAGATCGCTTCCTGGCATCCATATTCAGCAAGCTTACACGTTTTGTTAACAATAAGGTCAGTTTCTTCTTTACTCTTGAGGCATGTCTTTGACTTGGCCGGTCTTACTTTAACCTCTCTACTGACTAATATAAAACCTTTCCTATACCAATTTCCTTAGGCAAACTTTGGTTCTCTCGTTAAGTCATGTAGCACAAGTTACAAGTATTTTGGACGCATTTGAAAACAAGTTAAGAGTTTATTTTTAAACTGTATTTTTTATTTAATAAAATGCCAATCTCTTTACATATGCTATCTAATTGCACATGTATTTATACATATGCCTATTGTTACATATTTACCTTATTTGCTATTTTTACTTTTTTAGAATTTTCCACCTCTAAATATTAACGATTTTTATATATATGGTTTGGTGGGAGGTTAGGGATGGAGGGAGGGCGCAGGTAAGTCGCAGATAGGATTTCATTTTCTATATATTAATGAATTTTGTAGGTACAGTTTGGTGGGAGGGAAGGGTGCATATATTAACGTACAGTTTGGTGGGAGGGAGGGCACATATACTAACGAATTTTGTAGGTACAGTTTGGTGGGAGGGAAGGACGCATGTATTAACGAATTTTGTAGGTACAGATTGGTGGGAAGGGAGGGCGCATATACTAACGAATTTTGTAGATACAGTTTTGGTGGGAGGGAGGGCACATATACTAACAAATTTTGTAGGTACAGTTTTGGTGGGAAGGGAGGGTGCATATACTAATGAATTTTGTAGGTACAGTTTTGGTGGGAAGGGAGGGTGCATATACTAACGAATTTTGTAGGTACAGTTTTGGTGGGAAGGGAGGACACATATACTAATGAATTTTGTAGGTATGGTTTGGTGGGAGGTTAGGGATGGAGGGAGGGTGCAGGTAGGTCGCAGGTAGGATTTTATTTTTTATATACTATTGAATTTAATAGGTACGGTTTGGTGGGAGGTTAGGGATGGAGGGAGGGCGCAGGTAGGTCATAGGTAAGAATTAATTTGCAAGTGTAAATTTATTTCATCAATCTTGCACGCATCAATCGCAATCACAAGAAGGCTAACAAATAAAGAAATCAATATTGAGTTGCAGAGGGATATTTCGGGTGAAGAAGCGTCTGGTCGAGTCGATTACGCAATAACTGGGATGGAAAATCTTTTGTGTATCACTGAGGGCAAGCCACGAAACGTCAAGATAGGCTACCTCCAAAACATAAAACAACTCGAGAGTTCCTTTCATATGAACAAGAAGAAGCGAACAGCAGATGAGGCATTCAAGGGTGGGGATTACGACTGTCTATATGGAATTGTGTCAACAGGTATGTAAAAAATTTCTGTGATTTTTTTTTGCAAATTATACGATACTAATCATCAGTTTATTTTATTGTGAAACAATGTGGCTCTGCCTCTAGCCATGGATTGGCATTTCATCATGTTCATCTCTGACGGGATTTTCTGTACAAGTAATAGCGAATACCAAATAAATCTTACAAAAAAAGCGCTTAAGGGAAATCAGGAAAATTTGAGGGACGATATAAAGCAGGTGATTGGTATAATTGTGGGGTTATTGAAAGATAGGATTTCCGCTTGTGATGAACCCGAATCCAAGAAGCGACGCGTACAAGAGAAATTACCAAAAAATAGTGGAGATAGTCTCATAGAATGAGGATGCTATCGCATCTATCCCGCTTCACATGTATTTTAGATATCATAGATATCAGCTCCGCTATATTATATAAATAAAGCAATCAGACCTAAATGGTCGTTTTTTTCGATAATTAATTTTGAATATATTTGTATTTTATTTAAAAAATGGCAAATCCACAATCCAAAGTCGATGAGTTAAAAACTCGAGACTCCGTCTCTTCATTGAAGGAATTGAATTCTAAACTCGTGACTGAGATTGCTGAACTTAGAAAGGAGAACGCCAAGATTCCCGAACTTGAAAAGAAATTTGCTGAAGTTAAAGCTGAAAATGTGAGGCTGAAGCAGATTATTAAGAAAAACGTAAAGTGTGATGTTAGAGTCGAGGAGTTAGAGCAAAAAAATAAAGAGCTTGAGACCAGACTTGCTATATTAGAACAGGGAGAAAAAGGTATTTCTACAAAAGATGTTTCGCGATCTCCAGTAAATTTTAATGATACTTCGGCATTTAATATACCTGATAATACTCCAAATTCTAGTATTACTCCCGAACGAATAGAAAATAGCTCCGATATAACATCTGATTATGATACATACCATAAAAAGAATAGCCGATCCTCCACGTCTTCTATTACTATAAAAACCACATCATCGGAAGAGAAGAAAATTAATGATTTCCTGGATAGTGTACATAAAGAAACGATTAGTGAGAAAATAAGAGAAAAGAACCGGGAAAAGAATCTTAGATCTCAATACAAAGTACAGAAAATCATGTCAGAAATTTCTGAAAACTCAAGTTCTATTAATAATGATAATATAGATAGGGATGTGACAACTACTACCCAGGATGAAGCGGAATCTCTGCCCAGCAATACTAACTTTACGCTTTTATATGAAGAACTTTGTGGTGCTATAATTCTTGCTGATCGCAAATACAATCAATGCACGATTTAAAACCAGCTATACAGAATCTCAATGTAATAATAGTAGGTTTAAAAATCTTGTAAGAGATCATACCGTAAGTGTTTATTTCATGCCTATATACCAAGGAAATACATTTTCTGATAGCATATACAGTATAATAAAATTTTACTAGTTGATGTGCCAATATGTAGCTGGAGGCAGAACAGGCAAGAGAAGCAGAGCTGGCGAGCAATATTTTGAGGAATTTTCGTTCTCGTTTTTGGGAGAGACCAGGTAAGTTTACCGGATATGTTATAATCTATGTGTCTTGACACTAGCTCCGCTATTAATAGCAAATATACTAACTTGTAGAATTACATTATACATGAAATAAAGAAACACCATTTGACTTAGCGCATAGTGCAAACACATCTACCAGAAGACGACACCGTAACCGTACTCCACCACCAACTTATGATGGAGTGTCATCAATTCCAAGCATGAATCGCCGTGAATTTACTGCCGGTCAAAGAGATCGATCCGCATCACCTACCAGAAGAGTTCCTAGCAGAAGGGATGAGTATACTAATCGATATAATGTAAATAATTTAGGTGGAGATTTAGGCAATAATGTGGGTGGAAATTCCAGCCATAACGCAAATGATGTGGGTAGAGATTCAGGCCATAACGCAAATGATGTAGGTGAAAATTCAGGTCATAACGTAGATGATACAGGTGGAAATTTAGATGATACAACATACGAATTTTCATCTGATTTGACAAGTATTACCTCAGCCCTTAATATATCTGCATCACAAAATGACAGTGATTTTAGTATGGCCGATGCAGGAGGAGATAGTCAATTGTTGGAATCTATAGTTACTGTATAATTGCGAAGCAAAAAATAAAGCTCTACTACTTCGTGGTTAAAATTGCTTTTATTAAATGTTTGCCTACCGAAATGTATTTAAACCGCGATTACGTAAATTATTTCCTTGATCCCGTGTCAATTTACCTTTCAAATATCTCGTGACTTGTGATCGATAACCCCTTTACCTAGAACTCATTTTCTACAAAACCATTTCGCATTTTTTCTCAAAACTTTTTTCAAAATGTTTCGTGATTTAACTAAGAAGCTTCAAGAACAATTCCGACTTCCAAAATTTCCAAAGGAACCTATAGAGGAGAATAGGTAACATATGATTTTATCATAGAACTGTGCGCTTTAGTTTAAGTTCCACTTAATGTTAGCTCATATGAATTGCAGTTTACCTTTTAAGATTGGTTCCAATATTTCGATAAAAAACCACAACAAATTTCTTGAAAGCCGTGAATTATCTGGGTACAAGTTTGAGTATGACGACGGCAACATTTTTATTATAGATATGTGCACACAAGTACATGAAGCTGTTGTTGCACTATTGCAAATGTATTTTAATGTTCCCAATGGCAATGAAATTGCTGATCCACCAATAATCGTTTCGGGTCGACCACGTAAGAAAATTCAAGTTTGCCTGATCTTTGACTTTTTATGGATTTTCTAATATCTTACATCCTTTTTATAGTTCATCCTTCACCAAATGCAGATGGACTTAATATTGCACCGGATATTGCGGTATATCCGGATGAGGCATACGTTCCAAGACCTCCCAATACTGGACTTGGACCTCCCCCAAGCGACATAATGGTACATTGAATTTGGTGTATATTATCATTATCTGTTTTGTATACAATTTTCTAATACTTATACTTTTGTAGGGAAATTCTCATGCTAGAATAATATGTGAGGTTGCAGTTAGTCAAAATTACCGTGGATTGAAAATAAGTGTGCACTTTGGATGAGTCAGCAGTACGTGAGATGTGTATTAGGAATAAAGCTTTATGATTTGAGAACTACACGAAATACACATGGACAATTTAATCGATCAATGAAGGTATGTATCTATTGACTATTTTATTATAGTTTCGTAGTTGATATTCTAAAAAACTTTTTAAATATTAGGCTAAATTATGGAGACAGGGAATGCCAACCAGAAAAGTAATGTTAAACTGTTTTGAGATTCTGTTTATTTTATTTTTTCGATATTTACATGTATTTGTCTAAAAAATAGTGGCATTTTGGGACTGTGAAAAAAGGTAGTATTCAACCTACTGGGTGTAATGCTCGGGGTAATCCAGCATATCAGATCAACATTCTGATAAGTGATGTATTTTATGACCCACCTATTCCAGCTATTGGATATGTTCCACTGGTTTCTTATCCTCGTCCTGCAATTCTTGATGGTAATTTCATCATTGATCTTTACGAAATTCAGCAGATAGTTTTGAAAAGTCAGCCAAGATAATGAATATGTAGTGTGTTAAAGTTTTTATAATAATCCTATTTGTTGACACTGCACTGCAATCTATAATACTTTGAACTTGGTTCATGTTCTTATTTTTTTGTATTTACCAATGCCCGCATCGGTCTTATCTTTAACTGTGCATATGCGTGTGTGGGTGTCAGAAAAATAAAATAGAGAATATGTGTGCACATGAGATTTTATTGCTTAATCATTATGAATATTTAAAGTTTTATATATATTCTATAAGACCCAGTTCTCGAAGATGCTCTGGAATAACTATATATGGGTCTTCATAATAACAAACTTCTCGTAGAACTATCCAATTTTCTTCGCATAATTCTTTCTTGAGTTGATTCCGTTCTTGCTGTCTAACAAAATTATTGGGATCTCCTTTATGAAAGAATTCGATATATTTTTCGTGTTGCTCTCCTTGTACTTCGATTGCAAGACCATATTCCAGATAATAAATATCAAGTTCTAATCCTATATGAGATTCTGATGTTTTGAGAGAATCAGGTCGGCGTATCTTAGATGGGGGTCCAAGATATTTTGACACAATTTTTCGATACAATTTTTCACGTTTATACGTACTTAAAGCAATATGGACACCAACTATTTTGATACCATTTATGCTTTTTTTTCACATCTCCAAAGTAAATGTGTTCTATTATCAATATATACTGTATATCACTTAAACATTCTCCATTTTTATTATATGCCAAAGTATTAGCATATTTAATGCCACAATACGGACACCAATTATTATGATTTTTTGTGTTATGAAAAGTGGCATACTATATATGACCCTTAGAACACTTCTATCGTAATTGCTCAGTAACTTTATTAAATTTTTCAGAAGGACATTCTCCTTTTTTAGTCTGAACAAATTGTATTACATCTTTAAGAGTATATCGACCTACCTTTGAACACCATGGACACCATCTTCGATTATTTTTTATATTGTTAAGGTTTGCAAATCATTCATGTTGTTTATCACAACGCCAATACAATATAGCTCTTTACAATTAATATAGAACTCAGAAAGACATTGCCCTCCACGAGATTCAGCTATTTGTATTACATTATTTAGATAATTTTGAACCATTGATAATTTGTAAAACTGCTATTTTCAATAATTATTTTATCTTTTGACCGATGTACTGTTGATAATACTAGTGAGTCTGAAAATTTGTTAAACTCTTTTGAGCCAGTTTGTTATATTGTATCCTCAGCTATTCTTGATTATTGGATTCATTATATACTTATCGATTTCTATTATATTACTATCATATCATTTTCTTAAAGATTAGAGTCATTATCAAGCTTATATACTATAGTTGTAATTTGATATTTTGATTGCCTTTAGAATGTTGACTATAATATAGATAGAGTTTTTGGCTGCTGCTAAAACTCCTATATGGGTTAATAGAATACTGACTGGCTGCTTATCTTAAAGTGAATTGTTAGGGCTGTGTTATTGTTCATTATTACTATAAACCCTTCTCTTGTTTTCAGACTTATAGTCAAAAATAATAGTTAATGTTAAGTATTTTTTTGAGATTATCTATTATATTGGTATTGAGCTGAGGTAAGCTAGTATTAGACTCCTGTTTTTTAATTTCGACTATTGATATAAGATTTGTTGGAATGTTGAGTTGCAATTGAATTTGAATTTCTTTCCAGGCATTAGCAAAATAGTCCTGGTTGTTTTTGCAATAAGTCTAAAGAGATATTGCTTTGTATACTAGCTAAGATTTTCTGTTTTCATATGGCACTGGCATTTGATAAAGATCTTGTTTGTATTAATAAGATAATAAGTTCCTTTAATGATTGGTTGATCAACTTTATAATTATATTTAGCTTTGATATAGATGATTTGATTGTTGAGCATAATGATTTAGAATCTAGCTTTGGTGTTTGACATATATTGTTAGCAAGGAAAAATGAGTGGATCAATCTGGATTACTGACAATTATATGACTTGGTATGATACAGCAGATCAAGAATATACAAGTTAAATAGTCAAAAGCTTAATTTGTATAATGCAACAGTAGATTAACAGACACATTGCAAACAGTATAAATATAATAAGAATCAGTTAGTAAAAGTAAAATAGCCATAGTAGTAAATAAAAACACAATAAAGAATAAAATATCACTTAAGAAACTATACTATTTGTACTAATAATACACAATTAATATACTTATCTTGAGAAGAGTATTGGCTACTACAAGGATTCTATAGATCATAGAGAATTGTGATAGAAGATTATATAACAATATATAAGAAAAAAGTCTATTAACATGTACCTTTGGTTAAGCAAGTGATCCAAGATTCCTATTACTATTGTTACGTAAGCCTTTGCTTCAGATTAGTGATAGACTTGCTATATATTGATAACAATATAAAGAAGATTCTTGAAAGTGAACTAGAAAATTAATTTTGGAAAATCAAAATAAAATAAAATCTTTGAAGGTAGTGTTCAAATATGTATTAAATTCATATCAAATCAGTTTACAATTTGAATAGTACATCAATAAGTAATTTAAAAATTTAATGTTTTTTCAGTATAAGCTGAGTGCTTGCCATATGAGGTTTCTGCTTTTGAAAGAAAAGAAGAGTCCTAAAAATTGTTACTATTGGAATCAACAAATTTGTAATTTGATGTACAAATTGAAATTCTATACTTTTTGTATATGGTTGTAGCTCTGATAATCCAATTCTCCTGAAATTTTTTGAAAGAGCATATTGGATACAACCAGATTGCATAGCTTGCTTATATTAATTTAATTTTTATACTTATAACATTTTTAGTTTTTAGGTTGCACAGTTTGATGATAAGAAGCTTTTATATAATGATTTCTTGCCTATCTGCTAGATAAAAAGCTTGAGATCTGCTTGGAAGTATATAATTTTGTTTAAAATATTTTTTTTTATTCTGAACTTTGTTTTAATTAGGTTATTAATTTTGACTTAAAGGTTTAGAAATTCTTGTTTAGACAATAATATTGAATATAGTGCATAATTAAATTTGCTTGAAATAATTCAATTCATAACTTGTTTGATTATTGATCTGTTTCAAGTTTGTTTGCTATATGCTATAATAATCTGGCTTAAGTTTTTAATTAAAATATATTTGAATGACTGTTTATAGCATTACCTAAGAAATAATTTTCAAAATAACATATAGATTATTGCATCAAGAACTTTATGAGAGATATTTTTGTTAAAATTATTGTTTTCAAATATTGTAATTAACATGGTTTTGTTTACATTATATCTAATATTGTTAAGAGTAAGGAAGAAATAAAAATGTTAATAATTTCTTGAAGTTTTGACAATAATTTTGTTATTAGTAGCATATTATTTATATAGGTAAAAATGTTGTAGAGAATTAGCAGTTGCTTTGATATTAAAGATAGTTAATACTATTGAATTATAGAAAATTGATCACAAAAGTGGGAAGGGTGTTTTTCTTGGTTTAATCCTTTTAATACAACAAGTTTGTCTGTTTTATTAAAATTTGTCATAATAATAAATTCATA